GGGCAAGTAGAATATCAGGCAGGAGGGATCCAGAGGCATTTTGAGAGTCGAGGTCTGTCAGGATATCCGGGAAGGGAAGGAGGAAGAAGGGACAGTGAGCTGTTAGCTGGGGCTTGAAGGCAGTTTCAAACAAAATGGAGTTCTTCATGCTAAGCTGGGCTACCACAACTGCATTCTTATAATACTCATAGCTTAAATGAGGTGTCCAATTAAATACTAGAAATATTCTAGAAAGGATATGTAAATGGACATTCTATAAAAGTTGGAAATGTGTTTGAGTAGCTAAATCCATAAAGGATTCCATATACACCCCGCTTCTATGGGTCAATTTGGATTCAAACGGAGTAGATGGCTCCTTCGAGTTTCTCAGACTGAATTTTTACTGGTGCAGACACAGCCTCACCTGTCTCCCTTGCAGCGACTGCTGGGTTTGAGCCGCTGATTTTGTGCTTCAGCGCTCAGTGCTTACCCCGCATTGCCACCAGGGCTCCTTAAAGAAGCCCACTGTTGTAATATTGCTTTTTAATAATAAAAGAGCTTTTCCAACTTTTTTTTCCCCAAAATTTACTTTTACAAGTCAGTTCTACTAAATTTTCTTCTATTTTTTTAAATGTTCAGAAGGAAACAAACGATTGTAGGATTTGATACCTAAATTACATGGAGTAAGATTATTGCTTTAGAAAGGATCATGTTTATTTCGAGGATGCTGTGTTTTAAGAAGCTCGGGATACACTTATTTATTTTAATGTCTTAATAGTTCTTTGAAAAGAAAGAGGAAGACTATCAACTGTATTTTAATATGTAACAATTTCTGGAGTATGGAAAGCCGCAGCGGTCACTAATATGTCCTTTTGTAGAGCTAAATCAGTGCTCAGGAAACTGATGGTATTTGGTTCTTACCACAGGCAAACAAACGGAGATGATGGTTGGGCAGGGGCATTTGTTTTCCTTTTCAAGTTTTCTGGCACTTTGCAAATAATTTATCAAGATGCGACTTATGAAAAACACACAGAAGTAGTATTCTAAAAATTCCATTCTTTTGAAACCGTATTTCTTGGTACTGCATTTATGGAAGCTAAAAATAGATTTTAACTGTCTCCTGAGATTCATTGGATACATGTCGAAAAGACAGATATGGTGTTTTATAGTTTAACTTGGTCAATTCCCAATGCCCATATCATTCTCTTTTTTTCATAATTTCTTCATAAAAATGTAATCACATACAGATTTCTATTTATAACACAATATTAATGTGAATTCCATTTTAGGCTAATCATTATAAAAATGTTCTGGAGATCTGGTTTATATTCTCCAAGTGCTGTATGTGGATGACTTGTTTAATTTTTAGAGAAATTAAAATTTTTTTATTTTGTTGTAGGAATGATGATAATCTGATTAATATTAGATTAATTTATTTTATAATAAATTTTATATTAGTAGCTTGGTCTACATAAGTAAAAAATACTGCTAGTAGAGTTTTAATTAATGCATGCACAGGTTCACGCAAACAGAACATATTTAAACTGGTCTCTGTGGTTAGTAGATAGCTGCAGACAGTTTCTGTCAGTAATAATTCACTTTCTGTAGCAAGTCAGGAGTAACATCAAATTTTTAATAAAATTCAAGTGGGCATCTTCCCAAATCATCAAATCTTTGTAACAAGTGTACAGCAACACTGTCCCACATTACCAACAAAACTGTTTTTAGATGTATCAAGCATTTTTTGAGATGTATCAAGCATTTTTGGGAATTTTGGGAAGACCTTAAAGAAGAGCCATGGAAAGGAAGAATGTTGACTGTGAGAGAGAGAAACTATGGCTGAAGTTTAGTAGCAACTAGGGAAAAAAGACTCTAGAATTATCATTGTTGTGACAACTGTTGAGGTTGTGATTCCATTTTGGAATCCATTTTCCATTTCAGCATGAATTCTAATTTCCAAACGAGTATCTTGTCCTCAGAAAGCTTTTGGCTCTGAGTGCCAGTAGCACGGAGTGAAGATCGACTTAATCAAAAGCTTCTAAACAACAGGGACTCTAGTGAAGATGATTTTTATGGACTGGATTATACCAGGGGCAAGTTGATTTACCAACGCAATTTAGAGTGCAAGGTCCAATCAGAACAGCAGCTTCTGAGGGGATCTGTTTAGCTAGTTAAATTCAAAGCAGAGAGGTCAGTCCGTTCAGGAGGTTATGGCAAGAGTTTTTTCTAGTTCTAAGCGAATATCTTGATAGATTTTTCTTGAAAGACACAACACAATCATGGGGCCTAATTTTGAAGATGTCTTTACAAAAATTGAAAATGGCCCTGGTGAGAAAAGGATGGGAAAGTTGTGACAAGGGACTCTTTCTATCATGACAGTCCATCATCCTTCAAGGACAGAATGACTGTCCTCCAAGAACTTTATTGAGAAGCCATACCCCTTTTACCCATAGCCCTGATACTGCCCCTTCGGGCTTGTTTTTGTTCCCCAAACTCAGAACATGTAAAATAACACTATTTGAGTCCCTTGAGGATGCACAACGTGCCGGATTGATATGCTGTAAATAAAAAAGCAACTAATTCTTCAGAAAATGGTAAACAGATGGAAACATTGCCTTTAGAAGTATATAGATTGATAGTTTCAATACAGTCTTTCATCATTTTTTAGCAGTTCTTTTTGACATACCCATTGTGGGGTTAAAAGGAAGAGGGAACCCCACAAAACATCACAGGTTCGGTAGGCGCAATTGTACAGCGATAATAAGTAAAGATTATAGTAAAGTCATAGAGAGCATAAGAGTTAAAGGATGGAGTCAAGTAATGGAGTCAGACGTAATTCATGGTAGCATTGCTCACCTCAGCTCGGCTTGATGGTCCTCGTGGAGGGGGCTTAGCCTCAGAGAAGAAGCCGCTGCTTCCTCCTCCTTAGCCACCTTCTCCAGCCACCCTTCTCGAGAACCAGGGAGCCTCATTATTTATTGCTAACCATGCATTATGTCACTTTAGGGGGATCTGATTACATTCATACATTACAGAAAGGGGCAATACATTTCATTCTTGAACAAGTTTGATCATTCTGGTGTCTCATACGATAAAGCAGACAATTACAATTCTGGGAGGCATGCAAGTCCCCTGATAGCGGACAATAACCTGAGTCACAGGGAAGGGTAGCGACATAGGCAATACAATCAATAGGCGGGGGATCACCTAGGGGTGTGCCCGCATTTGTTGTGGGATAAACAGTGGTGTCTGCTTGATCTAGACAGTTGATAATGGCTATCTAACCTTGGTCATCCTTGGGCGGGTTTGCCCTCTCTAATCTCCTGCAAGTAAACAGACCACCACTATTCTTATCAGAAGGGAGTGGGTCTTATTTAGGGTGAGTCAGACTAATAGTCTAGCCACTATAGATGGCTGATGTTAAGGAGAATAACCTCTGACCTACTTTCGCTGATCACCTATTGTACAGTCATTCTTAAGCAGCTAAGTCTGGTACATATTTTGGGGAGACAACTTAAGAGAAATCCTTCTGTTCCCCACAACCCATATCTATTGTTTATTACCCATATCTAAGAGCCCTGGTGGCATAGTGATTAAAAGTTGAGCTACTAACTGCAAGGTCAGCAGTTTGAAACCACCAACAGCTGCATGGGAGAAAGACTGGGCTTCCTACTCCAGCTAGGAAACTCACAGGGGCACTCTACCTTGTCTTACAGGGTCCCCATGAGTCAGCACCAACTTGATGGTAGTGAGATTAAAACAAAACCATCTTTGAGACAAGTGTTGAGTTTTCTGTCTTAAGCATTAATACTAATTTGAGTGTATAGGTCAGACATGACAACAGATGGCCACTGCTCCATCATTAAAGTAAAAGATCTTAGAACATTTCTGTAGAGTTATTGCTTAGCATATGGCTTAATTCATTTAGTTTTTTTTCCTCTTAAGATGTTGGGGAAGGTTATTTTCTGATTAGCTCTTGTGTTATTAGGGTAAATAAACTATATTTAATGTATGGAATGTTCCTTTTATAAAAGATAGAAAAGGAAACCATTTATTAGTTTTGGGACTATCATTTGCAGCTACTGATTCTCAAAATCATATATATATATCGCCTAGGTACTAATGATGTTCTCCTTCTACATTTATGCCAGATTTTAAAGCAGATTTTTAAAACAGATTACAACTCTTCTCTATAATATACTTTAAGGATGAAAAAAAGGAGGAATTCTGGGTATTTGTGTGCTTTTAAAAATACTTAGTCTCCCATGGCAGGAGAGAGACATGACAAATTGCTTCTAGGCAGATTTAGGCCTCGGGAACCCTATTGTGTTTTATAGGGTCCTCTGAATTACAGTCAACTTGATGGCAACAGGTTTGGTTTGGTTTTAGTCTCCCATGAATAGATGACTTGATTTATCTTGATCAGCCTAGTAACTTGCTCCACATTTTTCAAAAGTGCAAGGCAGTTTCAGCTAAAAATACACATATCAAAATGCTCCAAATGTTGTGGCCAGAGCTCAAAAATGCTGATCAATTTTGAAAATCTAAATCAGCCGCGGCCATGAAACCCAGGGAAGAACCTTTGTGGGGAAGGACATATTTCCAAAAACTCACCACAGTCCTGTTCTTAGCTGGAGTTTATGCTGATGTTGCCAGACAACTGAGGAATAGGTGCAAAAAGCAGGAAGCATTATTGAATTGAACCCCAGCGCCAATATGGGAAAAGCAAATTAAAATGTAAAAGAATATTTTTCCACTCCTGGCCTCTTAAAATGGCAAAATACATAATTGCTGAAAAAGCTACAGAAAGTGCTAATTTTGCCAGAAAGTGAAAACTAATTATTTTGCATTTAAAGCGCGCACACACACACACACACACACACACACACACACACACACACCTATTAAAACACAAATCCAGTGTTTTTAATGGAAATGAAAGTGCAGATAAGGTTAAGGAGAAAGGTTTTTACATAACGAGTTTGCCTCTGGCCTTGTTTCAATGACTTTTGGTGTTTTTTAGGTTTCATTTGAAGAATGGATGATGATGATTTTGGTGGATTTGAGGTATGTGCTATGATCTAACTTATTTTGCTTAAATAGTTTAACCTTATAGGTTGTAATGAAGTAAACTATTTTTGAAACTGTATAGCTTATCATTGAGATTTATAATCTTTTGATCACTTTGTAACTTGGGAATTTAAAAAATAAAAATTAATCTTCCCTCTGAAAATTAAAACTGGTTTATTACTATTGAAAGTTGGGCTTGCCCGTAGAAATGGTTTAAAGTGAGAGAGTTAAGTGCTACGAGTGGAACTATTACAAAAGAGGTTTTAAAAAATTGTCAGCACATGGTTTTACTGGGCTCCATGTCTGTTAGGAAACCCTTGTGAGATGAGAGATGAGTATTGAAGCTCCTGTCACTTATATTCATGTTTACACCTGTAATGAGTTGATTTAGTATACTAAATATATAGCCTTTTGGTGGTTTATAGAACTAATTAGTATGTTTGTGCTAGTAAAGTATTCTCTTAGGTTTGCATGCTTTATAAGTGGACATTGTTAGCTGAAAAAGCACGCTTCCTGAATCCTTTTCCGTGTGTGCTCATTTTATTGAAATATTTTATAACCTCATTATTTTTAATGGAGCTAGTATAGTCTTGCAGGAAAATCTCTGGGTTAGGAGTCAGGATGCCTGAGCCCAAGTCCTGGAACTACCATCAAGTGAACACTGCAATTGTTATTTTTAAAGACAAGATTTTTACCATTTTGGCAATTTGGTAAAGAATAGATTATAAAAAAATTAAGATTGTAACTAATGATATTAATTAGGATAGAAGTATATATTCAGTATTTTGAATATCATGAAAGAAGTATTAGTTTCTTTAGGTCAGAATCATTTCATTTTGTGCTAAGAGTCTGTCAACATGATGGCATTTAAAATATTTACAGACCTACTTTCATAAAAAGTTGGTTTTTAACACATTTGCTCATTTTCCTCTGATTTTTTGCTGTTTTGTTGAGTGAGTGAGTCTTATCTTTGTAACTGAGTGTGTCATTAAATTTTTTTAAAGCCTTGAGAGAAATAGAGGTTTCAGTGGCATCTGACATAGTTTTTTGTTTGGAATTTACAGTTATTTGAAGGTTAAAACACTATAATCTTTGTAATTTAAAGCATACTTAATGTATTATGCTAGGAATAAATAGGGGAATAGTGCTTCTTAGAATAACAATTTAACTTCAATACCATATTCAATAAATCTAGTCCTTTCAATATTATATATGGTATAATGTTAACCAACCATTACAATTTAACTGTGGTTATTATATTTCTTTTCATATCCTGTTTTGGAAATATGGATGATCTCTATTCTTGGTTATATAAAATATGTTCATTTTTCCTTGTCTGTAGAGTAGCTATTGTATTCTTTTGTGCCCCTAGCTCATGGGGCTGATTGCCCATTTGACTTTTTGGCTGATTACTGGATATAGCAATCTAATAGAAAGTCTAGCTCTTTTCTTGTTTTCATTAGACTGATCTTTCTGTATACAGTTTTGCATTGCATGTCTTAAAATGGATGGTGTTTTATTTTTATAGTATTTTTAGACTTAGTGATCCAAAGGTGCAGAAAGTACAGAGAATGCTCATCTATATTACCTCTTCGCGTTGTACATAGCTTCTTTTGTTACTAACATCTTACACTAGTCTTGTACACTGTTTTAAACATTGATGAACTGATCTTGGTACATTATTATTATTAAGCTCATTGTTCCCTAGTGGTTTAGTGGCTCTATAGGAGAGTGTAGAATTGTCCCACAGGGGTTGGCGTTATAAGGAAATAAAACTTTTTGTCCCCCAGGAGTTTTATTTGGATATAACGTACATATATAGTTCAATAGTTCAGTCACATCAAGGAGAATTATACAGTAATCACTTCATGCTGTTTTAGAACATTTTCTTCACTCTTGTTCTCACTGCTCTTACCTCTCCATTACCCCCTACATCCCCTGCCACATCCCAGGAACCATTAATCCTGTTACTGTCTCTATAGCTTAACTCTCCTGGATTTCATATCCCCAAAATCATTTAAACAAACAGACAACATCAACAACAATCTAACAAGAATGATGAAAGAATAATAAAATAAAACCTCCATTGAAAATAGCTCTTTTGTTTTCAGTAATAATTTATTGTGTAACTTGGATACTAAGATAGAGAAAATTCTACACTCTTTCCCACACACCCAATATTCATAATTGCCCCATGGTTCGTAAACTATTAAATAGTAGGGCATATTAGTTGAAACTGTTAACTTTGGGAATACTCTGTTGAAAGATGTTAAGTTTGGTATTCAATTATTTAAGATACATGTATCTCGTTTCTTCATATTGGTCTGTAGGTAGTCTTTGTACTAATTTATTAAAGAGATGTGGTCTCTGAATGTTTAAGAAGACTTACATGAGGTCCTCAAAAAGTTCATGAAAAAATTTCATCATCTTCTAATTTCTACTTTTACATGAACCGTTGTAAAGCTTCCTGGTGTATGTATAGACAAGTATAAGGTGGAGTAAGCATTGGTCTGCTAAATGAAGGGCCGGTGGTTCAAACCTACCAGCTGCTCAGCAGGAGAAAGATGAGGCAATCTGATTCTTTAAACCCAAAGAAACCTTATAAAGAAGTTCCACTGTGTTCTGTAGGGTCCTTATGAGTCAGAATTCAATCAAAGGCAATGGGTTTAGGTTCCCATTGCCTTTGATTGGATTCTCACTCATAGAACACAGAACAGCCTATAGGACACACACACACACACACACA